TTTCACTTCTTTATAGCAAAGTGCAATTCCATAAGGTTGGAATTGGGAGACTAGAATTCACATGGCCTCAATCGTTGCAAAAGCTCAAGACCTCATTGGCCATTGATGGAAATGGTAAAGAAAACAAATAAGAAAAGCATTAAAAGTAACTTTTATTTTTTCAAGTAAATTGACAACAATCAACTTACAAGGAGATTTTGTGCCATTGTTATTTTCTTTAGATTTCATGAGAACATAACAATCAGCGGCACAAATCTAGAGCTTTTTGCTTTTATGAATCTTTTTGGACAACAAATGACCTTCCAGCCTTCTGGGAAATCATATGTTAGTAAGTCCATTCCTTAGGTAGAAATATCTCCGGGGAAGAACTTTGATTCTGGGAAACATCGATGCAGCATTTTGTCTGTACATCTTTGCTTCCATTTTTATTTTTGACTGGAATGCAATCACCATCTCTTGAATTATTTCTGTGATCTGCAGATGGACAACCTTTTCATGGAGTAAAGATAGACAAGGATTAATGAGAAATGCTTCCTAGATAATCAAATTAAATTAAAAAGAAGATAAAATGGAAAAGAGTTGAACCTTTCAGAGGAGAAACCTGCAAGCCTAATGCACTAACATTGAGGTTTAGAGCTTGAACAACGCGAGAAGGAAGGAGAACAGGAGAGCAAACTGCACCAAAATGAGATACATATTATATTAGAGAGAATTTATCATTACCAAAGTCCATACATCAAATCTTAATCATATGATGAATGAGACTTAATCGGGTCTGCATTAATTATATCTCACCCATTTTGTGGTTGTAATTAGACATTATAACATTTTTTGTATCTTCGTATTATACATAGATAGAGTCTGTTTTGCCTATCAAAACAATATATTTAGATTCTGTTCTATCAATTGCTTCTTTTTTTTTTTTTTTTAAACAAACTTAATCTGGTTAGTTTTCATAAGAATAATTAATGAATCAATTTCCTGGATTCTTAAGGCCAAAAAGTAAAATTACCTGGTTTTTTGCTTGATTGGAAATTTGAGCCTCTCATCTGTGGAAGAAAAACCCCAGTCCCGCCAGATCTTTTACCAGAATCCAGGAAGAGAGCTTGCATTCCTGAACCTCCTGATGCCCAGCCTGCAGGATACTTTGGTCTATGGTGTGGTCTTATACTAGATTTTGAGTGCTTAACAAAGAAAAACAGGGAAACAAATCAGATTCTGGCACCATTGGGTTAATTCTTTTTTTTTTTTGGGCCAATTCGGCCATGTTTATTTATAGGAAAAAACTTCACTAGTTACAACAGAAGGTGGGTGTGATTATGTCCACCCAAAAGTTATTTATTTTGACTTATATTTTATTAATTTGTAAATTTTTTTAAATAATTGATTATAATATTTGAAAATATTAATTTATAAGTTAATTTTAATATATTAAATAATATATCATCAGTTATTAATTATTTTTAATAATTAAATTAAATTAAATTAAATAATTTTAATCAAATAATAAATGATCATAACCACAACATAAAAGACACCAACAACATTTTCTTATAATAAAATTTCATATGACATCAAATGAAATGTATGCTGCATATTGATTTGCACCAAAGGTCAATTATTGTACACTATTATAATCGGAGAAGCATTTTCTTAATAAAAAAAATAAGAAAATTAACTTCCCAGCCTTTTTGGTCGTTGAATTCTTGAACTCATTAATTTTTTTTGGTTGATAAAAGAGTTCCGTCCTGTCCCAGTTAACAAATGCTCCAAATCAAAACAGGCACTTCTAACATCAACCGAATCTAACATTAACTTGACCAATGACTCTTTCTTAATTTTTTCACCATATTCTACTAAGTGTACACAATTTCCTTAACCATGAAGCATCATCAATTCAGGAGAAAAAAAAAAAAAGAATAAAACAACATCATCCATGAAATTGGACCAAAAGAAATCATGAAATCAAACCTTCCTCAGTCAATGAAGCAAAATTTTCCTTTTAATGATTTCATCACATACTTTGCATTTTGTTGAAGTTCCATTGATTTTCTCATAAATCCCAATCTTACATTTCTAAGCAAATCTCATGCGAATAACGTACAAAGAAAAGATGCTAGATATATAAATTAACACTTTGTTAATGAAATTTGATAAACAAAAAAAAAAAAATAATATCAATAATGAGAGGAGTAATTACAATTAATATTTCCCTCTCAGTTCACTCTTGATTATTTCACAATCATCCACCCATATACCTAATTCATAGATTGATAACATTCACCTACTTTTTTGCTACCCACGATATGAAAGAGAAAAAAAAAATGAACGAAGAAGGCAGAAGTAGTTTACCAACGGAAGGTGTTCAACCGGCGACTTGGGACCACTCCGGTGGTACTGGTGTTTCACATGATCCTGAAAATTCAATGTAAACCCATGTTTTGCTTAGTTTCAAACCACGTAGAGAAGGTGAATGATAAAATGCTGCAATGAAGTTGAAATGTTGAATAGTTCATAAATATAGCCGAAGATGACGATCGGACCTTGTTCTGGTTACGGCATACTACGGCCTCGTCGGGAACCTGAGAAGGCAGCCACGGCATTCCTTCTTCGAAAAAAACCTCCGAATTCTCCGAACCCGCCATTACAGGGGGAAAAAAACAGAGGTATTTTCAGTTTCTATTTCTGGTTTCGTTGCTCCAACTTCCAACCTGCAATCGAACTAAACACCTATGTAGGAAAAGATTGGAGAGAGAACAGCACATATATAGAGCTACGACGCTGGACAGCCTGGACTCCATCCACTTTCCTGCGACGCGCGTGCAATTTAGTTTCGTATCAAGAGTGCCCTACGCGAGGTCGCTTCTAAAGGCCGTGTTGTTACGGAGATTGTTTTTGTTAGTGGACCTTTTATATGCGACAAAAATTACCCAAAAAACCACGCAGTTGTATTCATTATCATTAAATTTCAAAATACCATTTTGGCCTTTTTCCTGCCCACAATTACACATAAAAAAATAAAAGATTTTGAAATAATTTTTTT